TACTTGCGGGTACTTTTTATTATAATTCGAACAAAAAGATTTAACTTTCGGCTTAAAACATTTCACTGTACACTTTCACTCTACACTTTAATGATTCGTCAGTGTTGTAAATACGACAACAAATTTGATTTAAGGAATTGAACACAATAACAAAACGTGAAGCACATCATAGTATTTCACCAACGTAATAACCCTCACACTATTCAAAGGTTATAACAGGTGGGCAGTAACAGGGACTTTATCCCACTTCTGATGTCGGATCAAGGGTGGCCGAGATGCGAAGCTTCGGGTTTTCTTCACGCTCCGACATGGTTTTACGTAAATGTGGGCACACGAACGAAAGATTATTTAAAATGAAAATAACTTTATTTAGACTAGTGGTTGTACACGAGAAACAAACACGTGCGTCGGTAGCGAGCGTCCGCTCCGGCTGTCCGAACCAAACTGCCACAACACTCGGTTCCTTCTCTAGCCCTCGCTGTATCCCCTCTACCGACGATCGTGTCCAAGCGGTAGGGCGCGCTTGCGTTTCCGATAACGATATTATTGATTCGCAAAGCTAATTGTTAGATGGCGCTGCTTGTTGCACTATGGCGCCATCGATCCACGACATATATATTAGTAGTCATGGGATACTCATCCCAATTTACCTGTTCGGTAGTTGTGGTATAGTATACGGGTATGCGACCCCGGCTTCCCTAGATATTACTGTCCTATCCCTTGCCCTCTAGGGCGGTAATATCCTACATTTCCTATTTCCCACTCTAACTTACCAATATTTCCTTTCACACCACTTATCCTTCCCTTTCCCTATTCCTACCCTCACCGCCAATCCAACGTCTGCCGCGCGGATGGATGCATGGCTAGGGGCAAGCTTAGTCGTTAGTGTGCTACACTGCCCTGGGACCGGGTGACCCCAGAATTAGGCCAGCCTTACCCTGGCATGCGGGGTCCTGCTGGGGGGGGGGGCAAATTTTCCCTCCATTTCGTGGAAACGCAATGGATATTCATAAAAATAATTTAACTTACCAAAATGGCGGCGATGTGGTTCGCCACTCATCACGTCTCGTTTCTCGCGGGGGCGAAAAGCGGACCACTTAGAGCCGCTTCGCTACGTTGAATGTAAGAGGAGGAATGGATGGTAAGGTAGATGAAGTATGTCAGATGATTCATAGATATTCTGTGTGCAGCAACGATGTGAGCAGTATCCTCATACGAGCATTACAATCTCTTTATAGGGATTCTAGTGCTTGTGTAAGGATAAACGGGGCATACACTGAATGGTTTAATATCGAAAAAGGTGTTAGACAGGGATGTGTAGCGTCACCGTGACTGTTTAATCTCTTCATGGACAATTGCTTGACAGATTTAAAAGATAATGAAAGTGGGTTGAGAATGAATGAGTTACTCGTCAAAGGTTTTCTCTACGCTAATGACCAAGTATTACTTGCGTCTTCGACCGAGGAGTTGCAGGATATGGTAACTGCTATGAGTGGAGCTTTTGTTAGAAAGGGAATGAAGATGAATGTAAAGAAGACGAAAGTGATAGTGTTTGAAAGAGATGAGGCGGTTGAAGTTAGCAATATCGTGATTGGAGATGAACAAATTGAACAGGTGAAGGAGTTTGTGTATCTGGGTTCAAAGTTTACAAGAGATGGAAAGTGTGAGAGTGATATCGAAAGCAGAAAACATGGTGAATGGAGCTTTGCACTCTTTTATCAGCAGTAGGAAGGTGTCTAACAAGGGTCGTTTGGCTGTGCATGAGGGGGTGTTGGTTCCGACACTCATGTACGGAAGTGAAAGTTGTGTATGGCAGAAGAAACATGAAATCAGAGTAAATGCAGTTGAGATGAGAGCGTTAAGAAGTATGATACGAGTTAAACTGGGTGACAGCATAAGAAATAGTGAGATAAGGAAACGTTGTGGTCTGAAAGAAGATGTAATGACAAAAATTGAGAAAGGTAGGTTAGCCATGTCGAGAGAATGAATGAAGAACGATTGACGAAAAAAGTGTATAAGGCGAGTGTGAATGAAAGTGTTGGAAGTGGTAGACCTAGGCGGAGGTTTCTAGACCAAATCAGGGACGTCTTGAAAAAAGGCCAGGTCAAGAGTACCCTAAACCGAAGAGCATGTATGAAGGGAATAATGAAAGTGGACGAAGTGAAACAAGTATGTAAGGATCGTAGCAAGTGGAAAGAAGTGGTCTCTGCCTACCCCTACGGGAAAGAGGCGTGATTATATGTAACATAAACAATGATATATCATAATATTGCAATTTTTGAAAATATGAGTAAGTAAGACAAAATACTAAATCTTCAAAAGTCAACATAATAAAAAATGTACAATGTGTCGTCTTACATACTTTTCTATTTCGTTTCTTTTTAATTTTATGCCTAATTACCATTATTATATTTATTTATTATTAATATGTATGTAATAGTGTTGTGTAATGTTTATAAGCTTTTAGTAACTATTTTACTAAGTTTAAAATATGTTATTGTTGAATTAAATTGTTATAATGTGTTACTAAATAAGCTTATTTTCTATCTTCTCCTTTTCTTTATGGCGCGTTCCGACGACACGCACCCGCTACGGCACGCCACGCGCTTCAGCACCCGCGTCTAACTCGCTTTGAATTGCATATAATTTGAGTCTTATGACAAATCAATAAATTGAAATTGTATAAAAAGCGCGTGTGCGGGATCAGCGCGGAGCGGGAACGAGGCGTGCGCGTGGCGTGGGCGAGGCGTTGAACGTCGATAAATACAATTTCATATTTATTGATTTGTCATAAGACTTAAATTATATGCAACAAATTTCAAAGCGAGTTAGACGCGGGTGCTGAAACGCGTGGCGCGCGCGTAGCGGGTGTGTGTCGTCGGAACGCGCCCTTACACTTAAGGGCAAATCTCAATCAAAAAGAGTGACTTTCAATAAGTATTATTTATAATCTATATTGAATAAAAAAGTTTCTGTTTCTGTTTTAAGTTTTTAACTGCCATGCCCAAATACTCAAACGCTCACAGTCACTTTGACTTAAAGTGATAGAGACATCACGAGACTTAACGGCATTTTAAAACTGAGTAGCGTTTGAGTATTTTGGCCAGCGTTGCCAACATGTGGCGAATTCCCCAAATTACGGGGAATTTAAAGTTAGTTGGGGATTTTTTTGGGGATTGGTATCGCGGGGAAAATGTGGGGATTTTAAAAATTGATAGCCCAGGTCAAGTCAGAACCTTTTTTCAAGAAATCTAAATAATTATCTTAACAATTTTTTTAGGTTACTTATGAATATCGAATGACTCCCATTTTTTTAATTATCTTCATTACACCACATTTAATTTTCGGATTTATTTCAGCAACTTTTGCGTATTATTTAATGATTTTTATTTCTTTATTTTTTAATTTTAAAGCAGAGATCCGCATGCATATAGATGCAGATACTGGGGTACTTTTTAATGGCAACAAGGGAAGGAATTAAAAATATTACATGAAGTAAAATGCTTGTTACTAAAATATCATGTGTGAAAAAAATACAGTAAAAAAGAAAAGAATGTGAGTTAAAAAATAAATCTTATAAAATTAGTTAAAAATTGTATCATTTCTTAAAATAAAATTGAGGGGAAATCTGATGAGGTTTTGTCCTTAAATTGTGGAATTTCACATGGGTTTTCGGGGAATTTGACCAATTGGTGTTGGCAACGCCGATTTCGGCGTAGATCCGATTGTCTAGGTTAGGGATGGGCAAGGGAAAAAGATATATCGAATCGATATTAAACAGTATCTATATATATCGCGTAATCAATATGGATATATTCATCATTTGCATGATGAATTTTATATTACTGACGATTGGACGACGAAAAAAATCGACAACCAACCAACCACACATGAATACTTTTTTGTACCTCCTTTTGTTGTTACATGTTTTGTCATTAATTTTGTTTGTTTTTTACGTGGTAGAGCCATGCTGCAGCTATATTAATTGAATAGTTGTAGCACGAATGGGTCGGCTCGACTGGGGAAGGACCATGCTCTCACAGAATACCAGCGTAAAATAGCGGCTTAATGCGGCTGTGTATGCTGTTCGTATGGTGAGTGTAGAGAACCGGAGACCCTTTTTACTTGAAAAGAGGCATTATATCTTAGTCCTCACGACTGACAATGCATCTGCATTTTGATTCACATACGAGGATAGATGTAGATGTCCATGGGCCACAGCAACCAATTACCATCTGGTGGACTGTGTGCTCGCTTGTCACCCTTATCCGATAAAAAAATATAACATTTTACAATATATCACAATTGATACGAATTCGATACTCTAAAATAAATATCGATATATCTACGATTTATGTATTGACATTTTTATTTAAAAATATCGATATTTTTTGTTCAAGCCTAGTCCGGGTCCGGGCAACACCGAACCGAATCATACCATAGATTAGGGGGTTTTGGCGGGAAATTGACCGGCGGCGGTTTGCTGCTCCTGTATTATTGTTTAAATAATGGTTTGAAGTGGACTTTGATATGTAAAAGTGTTGCGATTTTGTGTATTAAGTGTCTACGCATGTGAACTATTAGTGGAAACAGTGAAACAAGTGCTCTGATGGTGATGGATTCTCAAGATAAGCTGTTTGTTTGCATAGGCACCTTTAGATACCATCGCCAACTATCAGCTGTCTGCTGGATCAAGTTGCCGCCAAAATCTCCCAAGAACTGCACAATGTGACGCATCAACATATTGTGAAGCAGTATACTATGAAGGAGTGGGGAAATTACAATAAACCGAATAAAAATACTTAAGACTTGGCCTAAAGGTCTAGATACCAGGCCATAAACTCCAAAAAAAAAAATACCATAGATTATCACACTGATCGATCGATTACGAATTCGAATTCGTAATCGTATTGTCTCTACAATTTTCATTTTCTCAGGACCAGAACCATCTTCGATAGAAGATTTTATTACAAAAGTTTGTAAAAGATTGTGTATAAAACATGTTTATCACAAGGCCGGTGGTTTCTCGTCTTCTTCAACAGACAGGTAACTTTTGCTCAATTTCAATTTTTCTATATTACGAATAATAAACAATAAATAATGATATAATATTTTTGTTTTAACTTTTTCGCCGACTTTTTTCTTAGTATATAAAATGTTTAACATATTATGTTCTACATTTAAAAAAGTGAACATTTCATTACAAGATAAAGTATTCTAATTGTCATAGTTATTACATAACTGCAATAACCTCACAATTTAATTCTTATCACAATAGTCACCAATACAAGCAAGCAAGCAAACTTACAATGATTATGATGCATTTAAATGTTAGCCAAGAGGAATAAGTTAAATTTAGACTAAATCAAATCATTAAAAAAGTTTTAATATTGGTTAGTGTCTAAAGATGTGTATATAAATTCAATAGATGTACCTGTTGTATCCAAGTTTTATGCTTAAAAATTAGGGATTGTAAAGCGTCACACTAGAGTATAGTTCCATTTAAGGTATCAGTATTACTAGACAGTATCTTACCAGTTCCAAAATACTAAAAGGTCCAGGTCCAACAATCAATTTATCAAAACTCATCTAAATGCAAAACCTTAGTGGTATTGTTGTACCCACTGTCACTGAGTACTGATATCAGAACTGGTTCCTAACTGGTATTTTTAGAACCTTTTGAATCCCTTTTAAAATTAAAATTCAGGTTAGGATATTGTTCACAGTTATTTTACAAGGAAGATGATTAGTGTGTGCATTTTACAATTTATGCTCTCACAGTGTAGTAACAAAGTTAAAAGAAAAAGATATATTTGTACATAAGCATTTGTTATTTATTTTTCAAGCAGGCTTGATACTGGTCAGTTGAAGCAGACTCTGTGTACACTCTCTTAATAATTATTATAACTTTTAAAATACATGCAATACAATATACAACAGTAAATACATATAATTCTCAATGGACTCCTTTTCTGCCTATTTATGTAGGTGGTTGGTACCAGCCTCTTAACTATTTCTGCTGTCAAATAACAATGCTTGCACTGTTGTCTTCCAATCTAAAAGGTATAAAAAAGCCAGTATAATAACAGTCTGAGGCATTCTATCTTATTCCTCAAAGGTGCAACGCATTTGTAACCTTGTGTGTGAAGTTAGATGCAGATGTCAATGGAAGTGGCCAATGTAACCTTCTGGTGGACTATAGATAGGTTTGTTTATAAAAATAAGTAGAAGTAGTGGTATAAATAATAAAAAATATTTTCAGTGCGTCGCTACCATGCGGGCGAATTTAAGCCCCCTAGCATGGACGAGCTGCCTGTACCAAGTGGCTCGTGGCAGGCCCGCTATGACGCCAATCAGCGCCGCTACAACGCCGTACTGCTCTTCGGCGTCGCTTTCTCAGCTTTTACTCTAATTGTGGTATGTATATCACTTTTATTAATTATCTTATGTAGCATGAATGAGTGGGCTCCACCAGGGTGGACCACGCTCTCACAGAATATCAGCATAAAGTAGCAGCTTAATGCTGCTGTTTTGTATGTTGAGTGTAGGTAATAGGCGACCTTTTTTACTGGAAACGAGGCATTCCATCAAAGTCCTCACAGGTGACAACGCATCTGCATATTGATTGTTAATCGAAGATAAATGTAGATGTCTATCGGCCACAGCATCCACTTACCATCAGGTGGACTGTGTGCTCGTTTGTCACACTTATTCTATAAAAAATACTTGTAGATGATTGCATGCCTTTCATACTTCAAAATACAATACTACCCCTGGCACAAGGTTCAAATCACAGCAAGAGAACAAATACATATTTTTTGGTTTCATGTCATTTTTTTTGTATGATTGTCTCATGCTTTTAACACTTCAAACTAGTCTAACTCTGATTTTGCAGAATGTTGACTGCAAAGTTGACTGAATGAATTGGCAGGTTTACGCAAGTGACTGCCTCTGTTTGCACTTATACTATATGTCATGTAGTTGAAAATTGGTTTGGGGGAGGACACCGGAATTACATAGCATTTTATATAAAATGGTGCATCATAATAAGAACTACACATTAGAAGTACAATAAGTAAAAGTATTCCAATCATACCATATCATTAGTATTAACCGTGTAGTGGCAGTGTTAGATTATCCACTACCCCATATCGTCCCGTGGGTGTCGTAAGAGGTGACAAAGAGAAATTGAAACAGAAGATAGTCACCAGCATCTTCCTGATAAGTCAAAATAACCAAAAAAACTGCAGCTGAGAAACTGCCTGCCATGCATCCTCAATCAATGTCATCCTCAAAAAATATGAGACAATCTATGGGAGATTCCTATGATCAGCAGTAGACTTTTATAGGCTGTAATATAAAATAATAACTAGTACAGTATCACTACCTTCTAGAAAAGTTAGTTACACTGCTGGACACATGCTTTCTCTCCTTTCCGGGAAAGCTGTGTTGGTGGACTTCACATATCCACAGAATATTTGTAATTCCTAAACAGATTTTCCCACAAATATTTCCTCCACTACCAAGCATAAGGTAAATTATCACTTAAAATTTATATTAATAATTTAGTCAGTGATGGTAGGTGTGGAACTTTGTTTGCTTGTGGATCATAAAATTTTTCTCTGAGAGACATTACAATTTAAGTTATAAATCGCCCGCATCACTCTCTTTTGCAATACAAATTTGGCTTCAATATCAGTCACATTACCCCTTAGCAAAATTCCATAAGACATGCTATGAAAGTAACCAAAATAAACTAATCTAGCTGTCTCAACATTTAAGCATTTACTCTTTCTTACCAAACCCCTCTTGCAAATGAGTTACTTTACTTTTTGTAATATCTTAAAATCTTATAAGTACCTTTCAGTTACCCGATACCGTTACAACCTATCAAAAGTGCACTGCTCCACATAGGTTTGCCCATAGAGTGCCTCACAGGTGGGATTTTTGCCATAGTTGTCACGCTTGGCAGGCAGTTTGGTAACTGCATTTTATTTTTTAGCTGTTATTAGAAAGACACTACTGCCCATCTCTTGGTTTGTATCCCTCTCTCGCTCTTACGACATCCACAGGACGATATAGTTTAGTGGATATCCTTACCACCTCCACTACACTGTCAACATGTAATTACTAATGATAAAAATTTAAATATTACACTATTTTTTATGTTTTTCAGGCTAAAACTTCTGGGCTGGTGTACCTCAACTACTCCCCTCCCAAATCTCTGGATTAAATGACTCGATGTTGTTAATATTGTCATGTATGTATTGAAACAAACTATAGTTTAAATATATAATAGTATTTAATTGAAAACATAATTTTTGTTTTATTCACTGTACTTAATCCAAGTTACCATTTAAACAATTAGCTCCTTTCCTATGCGATTACGGGATAAAACTCAATTTTCGGAATTTGAATAACTCTTTATAGGTGATAAATTTCACATGAAAAAATGAAAAGAGTTGAATAAACGGCCTATAAGAAGGGGAACAGACCCCAGGATTTTTTAGTAGAAGTTACAAAGGTAGATACTTCGATTAAATAAAATATAAAAATATCCATTACATTCTGACTGTAATATATTAAAGTCCACTGCTGAACATAGATTTTAATCCTTTAATGAAGAATTTTGCCATAGTGGCCAAGCTTGGCAGGCGAGTTTGCAACTGCAGTTTATTATAATTATGATTTGTTAACAGGATGCTGCCAGTCTCCCATTAAAATATATAATTTCATAAAAAAAATCCATTGGCTTAATATTTATTTGATTACATGAAAGGCAAACGTGTTAGCAGTCCAATTGATGGTAAGACCCCATGGCCACTACAGCTGTAGCCAGCTCTAAATCAATTAAAACAAACAATATCGTAAAACACAGACTAACAAATCTGCGAGGACTAAGATAGATTACCTCATAACCTATAATTTATACTGGGTTACCCGGACACAATAATGAGTGCCAAATGCACTCCTGCTTAGCGATAGAAATAAACAAGAGACCGGAACCTACCCAGACAGACTTAAAAAAGAGCCCTATCACATCATTACAGCCCTTCTCAAGTCCACTGCAGAATATAGGCCTCGTCAAAGGTATGTCAAAAAACATGGTCCGTGTCACTTGCATCCATCCTGTATGTCAAACCAGATCGTCACTCCCATCTACAGAGACGTTACTGGAAAAGAGGCATTGCATCTTATTCTTTAGGAGTGACAACACATCTGCATTTTGATTCTTAATCGAGGATAAATGTAGATGTCTATGGGCCGCAGCATCCACTTACCATGAGGTGGACTGTGTGCTCGTTTGTCACCATTATTCATTCATTCATTAATCCGCCATAGGCCGCAGTCGAGAAAGTTTGCACCATTGGCTATATGGCTGGCCCTTTATCACTTCTGCTAGCATGGGGCTGTCGGTTTTTCTGGTTGTGCTGTTGCCACCTCATTACGAAGTCTACCACGCAGTGAAACGCCGAGAATAGTAAACCTAAATCCCATCTATTACAACCTATATAAGTTATATTATAGGCCTCCCCGGAGAATTATATACCTACAGGGAGGTTTTTGCCGCAGTTTGACACTTGACACGCCGGCGCGAGCGTGATAACTATGATATATATGACTATATGAGGCAATCTATGGAAACGGCCTAACTTCAAAAGTAGATTTTTAATAGGCTGTAATGAATGAAATGATATACAAAAAGTTGTTGTACAACGTTGCTTAAATGTCAGCCTTTTAAAGTTATGTTTTATAATTTTTAAAAATTATATGGTTTTGTGTCTTTAATAATTTAAAAATTATATTGTTTTGTGTCTCTTTGAATACACGCAAGAGAAAAAGGAATTCTAAATGTGCGATATTTGTCATATCTAAATAGTAAAACAACTGCATATATAGAAATCTTTTATTTGCTACACAAGTATATACATAATATAAATGTTTATAAATAATAAAACTTCTAAGCTAGCTAAATACTTTGATTTATTAATCTTACTATACATAATATATTCCTTTATATTATTTGTAACATTATATACATGTGAAGGAATATTTCCATTGTTGTTTATGCCTTGTGGAGATGTGATCCGGCACAGTGCAGCACGGTACGATACGGCACAGCACGGTCCGGTCCGGCCCGGTCAGTGCTCGCGCGCGATGTCCGAGAAGGCGTCGAGTATGTCCTGCGTGCTGAGCGGCAGCGTCAACCCGGCACCCGGGTAACACGCCGCTATTCGTGCCTACACATCACACCCCAAACACACCTCATAACACCTTCTTTGTATACGTAAATGTGACAAGCGCTTGGCTACAAAAAAACTGCATGATGGCATCCAGTATGATAACGTAATAATAGGCGACAGAGCGTTTTGCGTTGCTGCCGCCCCTACGATGCACAGGTCGTCGTGCGAATATCGCGAATGCGCAAAGTACTGTGGCGCCGAAGCATTGTTTTAGCGTCCGGACGCTTGGCGGCGAATGGATTAAAAATCTAAATGAAAATATGTTGTCATCCCTGAGGACTAAGATGGAATGCCACGTTACCAGTACAAAAGGTTTCCGGTTCTCTACACTCACCATACGAAACACAGCAGCATTAAGCTGCTATTTTACGCTGGTATTCTGTGATAACGTAGTCCGTCAGCAGTCAAGCCGACCCATTCATGCTGCCAGTCATTATACAGCTCTAGCGTGGCTCTATTAATGCTTGCTTTTCTTGATCTGATCTCGCTCATCTTTTATAATCCGATTACAACAAACAAATGCTTATAAAACTGCTTCTAAAGCAAACTACTACTTTTAGATGTCGTTTTAGAAACATTCAGGACCAGCAACATGTTTAAGAAAATTTCGTTTTTATATAAAGCGTTCAATACGTATTTTAATAGAAAACAAAATTTTCCTTAATATAATAATCGGGTATTAAAAGCAGCCAATTATACATATTTGGACGTATTTACAAAAATTATCCACCCTACGCTGAGATCAAAAATGAGTTTAAATGGAAAGGATGGGGGGAGGGGATTACCTGAAGAGCGACGTGCTGCGCGATGAACTCCTCCTGCATGGCGCGCCACACGACCTGCAGCAGGCCGCCCTCCTCGCTCAGGTGCTTCTCCACCGTGCGGTACAGCCGGTGCAGCGACTTGCGCACTGCAGTCAACACAACACACACATGCATTAATTCTAGCCGCCAAATTCCACCAACTCACATCGTGACAAAACCCATGATAATCTGGATGCTTAGTGGTCCACTACTGTGAGATTTACTAGGAGTTTGCTTCCTCGCACGACGTCTTTGTGGAATCTTTACTACCGGTAAATTATATGGAACTATACGACTTAGAGACCTTCAAGAAACAACCTTACTTCTTTTTAAAAGGTACACAACACACCTGCAACCTGTTGACACTTAACATCAGGTAAACCGCATGCTTGTTTGCACCCTTTTCATTACTTAAAAAAAAAAGAAATGCTTCATACACTGTTATACTGCTTCTCTATACCCTTCAAACCGGAAAATAGCGGTGTAGGTGGTACACATTGTACCAATGGCAGAAATAAGTACGGGGATGATATCGACCCAAGTGGAAATAGAGTCCTACCGTCTAATCTCATAACTTTTAACAAAAACATCACAAACATAAACATCACATGTACGTAGTCTCTCAATATATGCCGGCGAAATCATCACGCCATTTTGTCTCGTGGCTGTTGTAAGAGATGACTTTAGGAAATACGAGAAAAATTATGGTGTTATGGAATCAATGTCAAGTCACGTGAGCGTCACGTGACTTGACATTGATTCCATTATTTTTTACAGCTGGTTTGGTTAACACTGATGAAGTAACATGGCAGTAGCCAAGCGTGATCGTTAAGGCAAATTCCCCCAGTGCAGCGGTGGAATTTTGATAGTAAAGACCGTCGTAAGAACGAGCTCCGTGGTGGTAGTCCTCAGCGAACACGACACATGCAGCCGGCATACCATCGGACTCGGGGAAGACCCAGTTCGGCAGCGGATTTTTTAGGTATTAACTTTGCCCTGCGGAAAGCGCACGTGCAATCGATCCGCCATAGGGCTCGGGAAGTGCTAACCTCAGCAGCGGAATTTTACCAGCTATTACGATCTGAGTGGGTACCTTCGTGCGCCGGGTACATGGCCAGCAGGCGGCGCAGCTCGTGCTTGCTGAAGGCGGCGCGGTAGCACACCTCGTCCTCGCGCACGCCCGACGCCACGGCCTCCGCCACGCCCTGCCACGCCACGCCACACATGCAACACGCGCCACCACCGCATTTCACATTTATTGTTTTTTTTTCTTTAAAAAAGATACTAGTAATGCTATTAAACATTACTAATATTCCCTTTAACCACTTCTGGTAAGCTTAAAATGCTTGTGTTAGAAGTGGTTTACGACAGTAGTCGAATGGCGGATTCGAACCCACGACCTTCGGAGTTCGCGGTCCGCGCCCTGCCATTAGGCTACTGATGCTTCAAATTTAATTTTTTACCACCATTTAGTTAACTAAATATAAATTCATGGCGACATCAAAGAATCCATCACTCCATTTCGTTTAGTGAGTATCATAAAATACCACGAACACCTGTTAAGATACAGTAGTTCACCTTTACGATACTTGATGGCTTTGTACAAAAACGAAATCGCGACGTTGACATACAATGTAATTATATCATGAGGATTTTATTTATTTTGGATAATATATAAAACTAAAAAATACAAAGAAATGAATTTAAGACCGTGCTCCTGCCCATAACAGTAGAATACGCACTGCTTAACTCAATAACAATTTTAATGTCATCAATTAATAGGATGACAAACGAGCACACAGTCCGCCTGATGGTAAGTGGTTACTGTGGCCCATAGACATCTACAGCTATACTCGATTACGTATCAAAATGCAGATGTGTCGTTACCCGTGAGGACTAAGATGGAATGCCTCGTTTCCAATAAAAAGGGTTTCCGGTTCTCTACACACCATACGAAACACAGCAGCATTAACCTGCTATTTTACGCTAGTATTCTGTGAGAACTTGGTCCTTCCCCGATCGAGCCGACCCATTTGTGCTACAACTATACCAGAAATATAGCTGCAGCATGGCTCTACCACGTATAAAACGTAGATCGAGGTACTCTTATTGTGGACTTATAAGAAAATTAAAAATAGTCTTTGGAAATTTAAAAATATACAATCTAGGTAAGGATGTTAGTTCGCATCGATATTTACGAATTGTTAGAATAGAATAGTAGAATTAGATACGATTATTAGAGAGATTTTATCCCTTTCATAGACCCTATCGATTGGTTGAATAAAATAACGACAGTCTATTTTTTCATTTTTAACTGGTTCAAAAAAGCTTTTAAAAAAATATTTGAATGATATTATTCTTATTTTGAAAAACAAAGGAATGTCTCCTTTGAAAGAAATTTGATATCGTCAATATTAAATGTACTTTCCTTTCATGTCCCGTTCGATTGTTCCATCCTGTATAAAATACTGCACCAGGTGGTGGAATCCAATACCGTGTATATTAATCTACGTATTTATTATATGTATTTATTTTTAAATAGTAATATGCAGTCGGCTTGTTTTCTGAATAATAATTTGCTTGTTCATTGATTTCTGACAACTTTTAAATTTTTAAGGCTACGTTCTTTTTTTAAAAATAAAGGGGACAAACGAGCACAAAGTTTACCTGGTGATAAGTGGACGTTGAAGTTCATAGAAATTGACATCTTTTTTTGAGTATGAATCAAAATGCAGATTCCTTAACACCCTAGAGTACTAAGATGGAATGCTTCATTTTCAGTGAAAAGGGACTCCGGTTTTCTACACTCGCCATACGCAGCATTAAGCAGCTATTTCACGCTAGTATTCTGTGAGAGTGTGGTCCTTCCCAGATGGAGGCTAGCTATTTGTGCTAAAATCATTATACAACATATAACGTAATTAACGAACATCTTCAGACACCCCAATTAGTATATTATGTTATATAATCATAAAACATACAATGAATTCTTAGTTAAAAATGTTTATGCATTGATTATTTATTAAATTAGTTATACTAATTCCGGAAGAATGTTGTGGTCACCGTACAAAACTACGAACGCTATGTATAGGTCTTGCTAGCCTAGTAGGTATTCGCTCGCGTTCGAGACGAGTTAACGCCGCCGCCGCTTGACACAACTGTAGGTAGGTATTAGTGCCGAAAAAAGCCGACTCACAATACATGATTGGTTACGTTAAAGAAATACCTACCTATGAACATTAACAGATGTCAGAACTCCGTGCATTGAGTTGTTTATTTAAGTCCAGTAAACATTTGATTGCATCTTTCAATCACACTTTTCGGGCTTTGGACCTTCGACTCTAAATAATTTTGTTTATTGATTATGATACAATGTCAATAGGCAATATTCGTTACAAAATGTTATGAATTTGCATTTTTTTTTTATAGGAGAGGGGGCAAACGAGCATGCGGCTCACCTGATGGTAAGTGACTACCGCCGCCCATGAACAACCGCAACACCAGGGGAATAGCAGATGCGTTGCCGGCCTTTTAAAAAGGAGTAGGCTCTTTTTTTGAAGATCCCTAAGTCGTATCGGTCCGGAAAAATCGCTGGTGGTAAACTATTCCACAAGGAAGTAGTGCGAGGAAGAAAACATCTTCTAAATCGCACAGTGGTGGACCGCCAATCATCCAGATGGTGTGGATGGTATCGGGAGTTCTGCCGCGATGTGCGTTCGTGAAATTTGGCGGCTGGGATTAATCCGAACAACTCCTCAGAGCACTCCCCATGGTAAATGCAAAAGAAAATGCTAAGAGATGCAACATCTCTTCGCAGTGCCAATGAGTCGAGCCGATCGGAAAGGACTCGGTCGTCGACGATTCGAGCCGCTCTGCGCTGGATGCGGTCAAGTGGAAGAAGCTGGCACTGGGGAGCCCCAGCCCAGAGATGGGAACAGTATTCCATGTGAGGCCGAACTTGCGCCTTGTAAAGTTGCAGGCGGTGTGCCGACATGAAATACTGTCCCGCTCTGCTGAGCACGCCAAGCTTTTTAGAGGCCAATTTGGCCTTCCCTTCCAAGTGACCACGAAACTGCACGTCACTCGATATGTCGACTCCGAGGATACCGATACTGGCTGAGGCAAGAAGGGGAGTGCCTTGAAACTGAGGAGATACGACAAAGGGGTTCTTTTTAGCGGTAAACGCGCAAACTTGTGTCTTCTGAGGATTAAACTGGACTAGATTTAGTCGCCCCCAATCCGAGACTTTGTCCAGCAAAGACTCGACTTCAGACACAAGTTTGTTCCGGTACTCGGTGACGTTTTCCCGAGAAATATTGGCACGGCCGGTGTATAGAGCATCACCAGTGCTGTCATCTGCATAGCAATGAATGCTACCAGCTTGCAACATATCATTGATATGCAGAAGAAACAGCGTTGGTGATAGCACGCAGCCTTGTGGAACACCAGCGTTAATAGGCTTGTAGTCGGAGCATGCACCGTCTACAACGACCTTGATGCTCCGATCTGCAAGAAAGCTGGTGATCCAATTGCATAATTTCTCGGGAAGCCCATAGGAAGGGAGCTTCGAAAGAAGCGCTTTGTGCCAAACCCGATCGAAGGCCTTCGCAATGTCCAAACTAACGGCCAATGCCTCCCCCTTGGACTCTACTGCCAACGTCCATCTATGAGTTAAGTAGACCAGAAGATCACCAGCTGATCGACCCCGACGAAAACCGTACTGGCGGTCACTAATCAGCTGGTGATCCTCAAGGTACCGCATGAGGTGGCAGTTTACAACGGATTCCATTATTTTGGAGAACAAGGGGGTGATGGCGATAGGCCTGTAGTTGGACGGATCTGAGCGGTCGCCTTTTTTAGGGATCGGGTGGACAAAAGCTGTCTTCCATGATTTCGGGACTACGCCTAGGGAGTAGGAGTACCGGAAAAGACGCGTTAGAACCGGTGCCACGTCCTCAGCACAATTGGGGGGATTCCGTCAGGCCCACTCGACTTGTGGATGTCAAGGGAGAGGAGTGCTCTGCGAACCGAGCGCTGTGAGAATCGCACATCCGTCATGGAGCACTCACACCGCGGGATGGTCGGCGGTATGTTCCCCCCGTCATCAACAGTCGAGTTGGACGCAAAAAGGGAGCCTAAAAGGTCGGCCTTCTCTTTTGCGTCGTGGGCCAGTGAGTCGTCCTCCCTGTGTAGAGATGGTAGTGATGGCTTACAAAAATTCCCTTGGACAGCCTTGGCGAGAGACCAGAATGCACGGGTTCCCGAAGGAAGGCGAACTAGTTTCTCGCCAATTCTGCCTATGTGCTCTGACTTTGCCTTGGCAATAACTCTTTTGAAGGACCTGGAGGCGAAGTTATACTTCTTTTTGAGTGTGCTGGTGATTACATCCCGAGTCACCGAAGCCGCAGCCCAGGCTTGATAACACTCCTGCTTACTGCGTAATGCAGTCTTACAGGAGCGACCAAACCAAGGCTGAGATCTGCCTCCGATGGGTACCACAGATGATGGAATAAATAGTTCCATTCTCTGTAGCACTACATCAGTGACAGAGTCAGCAACAGCGCTGGGATCATCCGGCGAGAAGCAAACCCGCCCCCATGGGTAGGAAGCAAAGAAAGACCGCATTCCGTCCCAATCCGCCGACCTGTAATTCCAAACACGGCGGCAACCTGCAGAACGCAACCGCGAGGGGAGCGTGAGTGGCACCACACTCCGGATCAGACAATGGTCCGAAGAGCCAAGAGGGGCATCGACGGAAACCTGATATCCGTCCGGATGAGAGGTCAGCAGAAGGTCCAACAGGGAAGGTGTATGATCCTCAACATCTGGAATCCGCGTAGGCGATGTAACCAGTTGTGTCAGACCATATGCCAAGGCAAAGTCATAAACAGATCTCCCCGCATGATCGGTTAAACGTGAACCGAGCCATTCGGCGTGGTGGGCGTTAAAATCGCCAAGGATCACGATCTCTGCGGATGGGACCTGTTGTAGCAAGGAATCTGTAGCCATTTGGACGTGGTCGATGAGTCGGTCTGTTTCGGCATTACCGCTATGAGACCTATAGAGGCACACGTAGACGCGCGGATGGTCGTCGCTGTCTACGCGTAGCCAAAGGATGGACAGGTCCGAACCTTCAAGACTGCCGAGGCGTCGAGAACAGATGTCCTCTCTGACATACACGCAAACTCCAGCCCGAGGCACAAAG